CAGGCACCTGGTAAGCAGCTTTGATTTTGGGAAGTGAGTTGTTGGGGGCAGTTTGTTGGGGCGAGGAGGGTTGCAGAAAGCACGCTTGGCTATTTGCGATGCTCGTACTGACACATGCCTAGAGGTGGAACCGGGCACTGATGGACTCTCTCACACGGCCTCAGAGATCTCATTGAGAGCCTCATGCAGATACTGGGCACTCTGCTTCCGCGGGTTCTTTAGCAGAGCTGCTTTGTCCCTTGTCCCATTAAGGGTAACGTTCCCGCACCACTGTGATGTCGGGGGGGGGAGGGGCAGCATTGCTGTATGCAGACAGGCTGCATAAGGGCCAGGGCAGAAGCTGTTGTCTTGCAGAAGACGAAATCTTGCTTCCTTGCTCACCCTCAGCAGCGAGATATCTTCAGTGATGAACACAGCCTGTGGAAAACGTGTGGACAGTGTTGAGTACTGGGCCCCTGTGTGGACACACGGGCCCAGAGTACAGTAAGGCCTGGGAACAATCAGTCCCCCGTCCCTGTGGCTACTCACCATTTCAGGGGTCTTCTGGCGTATGTGCGCTCGCGTTGTGATAGGTATGTGAATTGTGCTTGTGTTTAAGATTGGCTGTATCACTGCTCTGTCTAGTGTTAACAATGGTCCCTCTGTAAAATGTTGCATTTTGGCTTCACAGATGCAATCTGGGGATCCCATTCATCCTTGTTAACACTGGCTGAACGGCTGAGCAGAATCAGGAAGCGGCCTTGAAAAAGTGGAGATGACCTTTTGCATGAAGTTATGCAGCAGTGGAGGGGTCTTGAGAGGAGAGAACAGAAGGAGAATGTGGAGCAGCACAAAGAAGACACGGAGCGGATCCTAAACATTATGGAGCACCAAGCGGACTCAATCCAGGGGTCCTAGCACTCAGGACCAGCTCTAGGCACCAGCAAAACAAGCAGGTGCTTGGGGTGGTACATTTCCAAGGGCGGCATTCCGTGTGCTTACTCGAGATTCACGGAGTTTACTGTACAATTGCCCACTAGAAAAGAGAAGCTGGGCACATGGAAAGCTAGAAGGAGCTCAGGTGCTGGGAACAGAGCCCGGGGCTGGACCAGACAAACGTCCGCAGGGTCTAGTTCTCTTTAAGATCTTGCCATCCCTACTAATGGGACTGACCCCACTGGCTCCGGTGGAACAATTTGTGGGGTAAGGATTACTCAGGGTAGGAAGGGTTTGCAGGGCCACTCTCAAAATCCCAATGGAGCTGAAATCAAGAACCGCTCCGAGCGCAGACCTCACTGTTTCCAATCAGGTTTGTCTCTCTGGGCTCGAATCCATGTGGGGTTTAAATGGAAATCGGTACCGCTTCCAAGCTAAACAGTTTGCATCAAACTCAGAAGCCCTCAATCCTGAATTTTGGGGGTGTGCAAGGGGCCAGCACATCTGGGAAGAGGAGAGCACATAGGGGCTAGCACAGATGTGTCAGCCAATGCAGGGTCCCTTCACTGGGCTGTCTTGTAACAACGCTTTTAATGTAAGAACGCAGTCAGGCATCTGAGGGGAGAGATCAAACAGCTGGTTTATGGATCTCCAGAGTGAAGTTCAGCGTGACAATTAGCAGGATCGGCTCTAGGCACCAGCAAACCAAGCAGGTGCTTGGGGTGGCCCAATTCCAGAGGTCGCATTCCGGGAGGTTTTTCTGTTTTGTTTTGTTTTGTTTTTGGTTTTTTGCTTGTGGCGGCAAAAAACCTAGAGCCGGCCCTGCTAGCAGTGCATACGGAGCAGCTCTGTGCCTGATCTCCCCTGTATCCAGCATCCCAAAACTCTTTCCCTTGCACCCTCATGTCACCACCAACACAGTTTGGCCACTATCCTGTCCCCTGTCACCCCCCTCTCCTTCCCACACCTGCGCCTTCACCGTCCAGCCCTGGAGACTCCCACCATTACCAACGACACTCGACCCCATGCAGTTTATCCCGGATGACGTGCAGCAGCCGTTTCATGGCACTCCAGACAGCAAGGCTGCATACGATACCCGGACATACGCAAATCTGTAAATGTTCCGGGGCCCCGCACCTCCCTTCCCCGTCCCGCACAGTGCAGATGTGCCATAGCATGTGAGTCTCTGCTACTGTTTGTTTTAATAAATGACTGGTTTGGGTTTGGAAGCATTCTGTATCGCATTCAGTGAAAGCAAGCACAGCCCAGGACAGCGACAGGCACTGCTAGTCAGGGCGTCATACAGAGCAATCACAGACACCTACTAGCATCACAACCACTGCACTCCCGTGCAAGGCACCAAACATTACTGGCCTTCAGCATCCAATTACTGCCTGAAGGCATCCCTAATCCTTACAGCCCGGTGCGGTGCCCTTCTAATAGCCCTGGTCTCTGGCTGTTCAAATTCAGCCTCCGGGCACTGAGACTCAGTGGTCCAGGCCTGACTGAAGCTTTCACCCTTCACAAATATTATGCAGGTTACAGCATGCGGTTATAAGCATAGGGATGTTGTCATTGGCCAGGTCCAGATTTCCCTACAGACATCACCAGCGGGCCCTTAAATGGCTAAAAGCACAAAAGCAAACAGTCATTGTGTATCGACTCAACCTGTTGTTGAACGGCTCCTTGCTGCTGTCAAGGCTCCCCATGTACGGCTTCATGAGCCACAGCATCAAGGGGTAGGTGGGGTCTCCCAGGATCACAATGGGCATTTTGATTTCCCCTATGGTGATTTCCTGGTCTGGGAAGAAAGTCCCGGCTTGCAGCTTCCTGAACAGGCCAGTGTTCCAAAACACGTGTGTGTCATGCAACTTCCCGGACCAGCCTGTGTTAATGTCCGTGAAACGTCCACGGTGATCCACAAATGCCTGAAGAACCATGGAAAAATACCCCTTCAGGTTAATATACTCAGAGGCTAGGGGGTCTGGTGCCAGAATTGAAATATGTCTGCCGTCTATCGCCCCTCCACAGTTAGGCAAACCCATTTGTGCAAAGCCATCCACAATGTCATGCATGTTTCCCAGAGCCACAGTTTTTCTGAGCAGGATGTGGTTAATGGCCCTGCACACAAGTCCAGTGGTTGACTTGCCCACTCCAAACTGGTTAGCGACCGATTGGTAGCTGTGTGGAGTAGCCAGCTTCCACAGTGCGATTGTCACTTGCGTCTCCGCCAGCAGGGCAGCTCTCATTCTCCTGTCCTTGCACCGCAGGGTGGAGCTGAGCTCCTCACACAGTCCCATGAAAATGCCTTTCCTCATCCGAACGTTCTGCAGCCACTGCTCGTCATCCCAGACTTGCACGGCGATGTGATCCCACCACTCGGTGCTTGTTTTCCGACTCCAAAAGCAGCGCTCCACAGTGGTCAGCACCTCCGTGAATGCCACAAGCAATCGCGTGTTGTATTTACTATGCGCGGCGACATCAGTGTCGGCCTGCTCATCTTCACTTTCTTCACTTTGTAGTTTAAGGAGTAGCTGGACTGCCATTCGTGACGTGTTGGTGAGACCCATCAGCACATTCCTCACCAGTTCGGGATCCATTCCCACAGACCGAAGAGGCAGACAGCGCCCAGTACACAAACCATTGAAAAATGGTGACAAATGCAGATGGAAGCACAGGGGCTGCCGGGGTGTGAAGTGACCCCCCCCTCCACCTTCCCACAAGCCTCAGTGGCAGAAGAGGAAGAGGTGCTCTGTGGGATAGCTGCCCAGAATGCACCGCTCTCTGAGGGATGCTCTGCCTCCCTGCGCTGTACATCTGCAAGTGCAGACAGAGCCTTTGTGTATGTTCTCATTGCTGTGGAGCGTGAGCACCACCCCCAGAGTCTCTCGTACCCGGTCTATAAAGCGGGAAGGATTTTTGTCTGAGCTCAGACCAGCTTCTTCTGACTGTGTCTCTCGCACAGGAATACACGGCGGTGTCCTCAGGGCCCATTTATCCCAGTCTCCTGAGTCCTGCCTTAACGTCAGCCCGAGCCAGCTGGCTTAGAGGAAGCCAAGTCGGCCATTGTCAACCAGGCCGCCCAGATGGGAAGATTTCTCATAAGCCCCATCAATGGGTTGGGTTTAGTCACCGAAGCCAGAGAGTTGATCTCCTTACCGAAAATCTTGGGCTGAGAATTTCTAAGCTATCTAAGAGATTGGGACAGACATTTGCCTTTCTAATGATTCTGAAATGAACAGCGGAAGCCCCTAGTCAGATTATTTTTTTAAATGACCTTTTCTGCAATGTATTCTCTTACTGGTATTTGTGGGGTTCAGAGAGGAAAGGAAGAGGACACTGGATCTGTTACGACAGACACCCTAAAGAACTTGAAGAGCCTCCTAGGGCTTGTGACAAAGGTGCTTTTGATTTTGCCTCATTACAGTGAAATAAATGAATTAGTCGTCCAGGCTCAAAGATGCCCAATGGAGATTCGCCCTCCATTGAATGTATGTTCCACCATGGCAAGGATCACACTCCAACAGGCCCCTTTACACCAGCAGTCTCCAGTAATAATAAGTAGTAAGAGAGAGATACACACATATCTACCTGCATCTTAAACATACCAATTAAAAGCCATGAAACAAACAAATCCTGTGACTGATGCAAAAACAGACACTAAACCCCAGAGAGAGATTTCACAATTAACAGGGAAAAGGGCTAGAAATTCTATGATGTCCTCCATAAAATTCCTTATACAATCCAATGAGATAGAGAGAGAGAGAGAGAGAGAGAGAGAGATGATTAGATTAAATTTAGCGGGTTTTACATTTTCAAATGTAAGGAGTACAAACTGAATACCCTGAGGAATGTTTCTTTATGAGGGAGGACTCTCTAATCCACCGGCCATTCGATTTTACAACTCGATACAGCGTCACATACCTCCTAGGTCCCCCGTTATATTGTCCCCACCCCTGGCCCATGCAAATGAGCTCCCCGGGGACCCTGTTCATAGCCCAGCCGCAGGCTGCTCACCTCACTCAGAGCCAGCGCCGGGCTCCAGCTCCCCATCCCGCCTGGGGAACGAGCCGCCAGCCGCAGACATGACCCCCAGCCTGGCCATCGCCTTCCTCCTGCTGCTCCCAGCGGGTACGGGAGGGATCTGTGCTGCCACTGGGCGCCCGGTACCGCGTATTCTCTAATAACTGCACCTCTGAGAATCACCGCAATATTTCCCCTTTATTTCCCCCTCTGCAGGTGTCTATTCCCAGGTCAGCCTGGTGGAGTCCGGTGGGGGAATCAAGAAGCCTGGGGAGACCCTCAGACTGACCTGCACCGTGTCCGGATTCTCTCTCACTAGCTACGCGGTGCACTGGGCCGCCAGCCAGCGGGGAAAGGGCTGCAATGGATGGGAGGTATTTGGGGTGATGGAGGCACTAACTATAATGGTGCTCTCAAAAATCGCCTCACTTTTACGAAAGACAACACCAAAAGCCAAGTGTACCTGCAAATGAGCGGCCTGCAACCCGGAGACACCTCCGTGTATTACTGTGAGAGAGACACACAGTGAGCGGGAACCTATCAGAGCCAGCACTAAAACTAACCGTGCAGAGATCCAGCCTTCCTGTGTGAGCCGCCGAGAACAGCACCTGCCAGCACCGTGTTCTCTCTGCTTGGTTAGTTATTGGCTTCGCCTCCATTCCACGGCAGGTTACAGGCACTTGTGACTTAAACCCCATCTCACCCAAAGTCACACCGCGAATCAGAACTCCCGGGCCCAGGAGTCCTGGCACCCGGTCACTTGTTCTCTCGTTTTTTTCTATCATTCTTCCAAGAAGTGAAGGGGAAAGGCCACAGGAATTGTCAGTCCGAAACTCTTGCTATTCTAGCTAAACTCGCTAGACTGTTCTTACCTCTCCTAGCTGGGAAGATCAACCAGAAGTCCCTGCGGTAGAAACTAGAGCCCAACTATCACATTACAGGTGGGAATTCCGTTCTCTGCGCGAGAAAGTCTGCGGCGTTGTCTGAACAGGACATTTATTCAGATCAAACACTCAAAAAGGGATTGTTAACTCAGACGTGCAAAGGGCTGAGGGAGCTAAAACCCCTCTGGCTTTCCCATGAGAGGTAAGTATCTCAGACGCTCAGAATATTGCCTGTTTGGATCACATCTATGCCAGCCTCCATGTTTAAATTCCCTTCCCCACAGAATTACCCCCAGTCACCCTGCACTAATCACTGCTCTCTCTGAGCAGCCCTTAGGAACATGGGATCCTAGCACCTGACAGCCTCAAGAACCTCCCAGAGCCCAGTTAGCCCCGTCTCTTTTCTCAACAGCGACCTGACCAGCTCCTCTATAGGAAGCAGCAATAAAGTCAGCGACTATCAGATTAGCTGCCCAAAGGGGAATGTTTCTTATCATCCCGGATCAGGGAGAGGTTGGTTTACTCACCCAAGCAAGAGTTCGTCTCCTTACCCAAATTCTTGGGATGAGAGTTTCCAGACGACTACATGGATTGGGACATACCTTTTCCATTAGCATAATTCTGAAAGAGCCTTCAAAAGCCCCTTCTCAGTTTTTTTAAAAAAAAATCCCCGTTTCAAGAACTAATTTTCTGATTGGTATTTGTGGGGGTTAAGGAGGAAAAGGAGAGGATAGTGGATTCACTCTTTTAACACAGATATCGAAATACATTGAAAAGATTCCTACATCTTTGGACAGAGGAGATTTTGTGTGTGATGTCTACAGTGAAATAAATTAATCAGTCTTCCAACCTCAAATATGCCTAAGGGAGTTAGGAGCTCCTTTGAAAAGATTTTCCCACCATACTGAAGATAACATTCAGAACAGGCTCGTTTGAACTGAAAACCTGAAATACTAAATAAGTAAAGGGGCGAGGAAGAGGGAGAAAGAGAGACACCGACAGACACATCTACTTTAAACATAATTAAAATACCCATGAAACAAACAAATCACACAATTGATCCATATAAAGAAATAAAATCCCAGGACGCATTCCCCACAAGCAGGGATAAGAGCCTGGGGCTCCATTAAGTTTTCGGAGACTTCCTTATCATTCTGTGTTGCAGTCTTAAAAATGCTACTGTATTGGGCGTCAGCATAAAATTTAGATAGATCGATAGATCGATTGATTGATTGAGTGATTCTCTCCATTCAGTTCTTTCATAGTTGTAAAGGTCCGGCGGGCAGAAGAAATAGCAGAAGGGAACATTCCGTGTTACAGCTGGACGCTGGAATCCACCTGCCAGGAGATTTAACAACGCGACGCTGCATCACCAGGGTCGGCTCTACTGTTTTTGCCGCCCCAAGCAGCACGCCGAATTGCTGCCGCGGACGGCCGGGGCAGTCCGTGTGCCGTTAGGGCGGCAGGCGCATTTCCGCGGCGGTGGCAATTCGGCGGCAGCTTCCGGCTTCAGCCCCAAGACCGAAGCCACCGAATTGCTGCCGCTGGCAGCTGAACATAGAAGCTGCCCCCGAATTGCCGTCGCCGCGGAAACACACGTGCTGTCCTATCGGCACACGGACTGTCCCCGCCGTCTGCAGAGGCAATTCGATGCACTGCTTGGGGCGGCAACAACACACGGACTGATGCCCCTTGCAGATTGCCGAACCAAGCACCTGTTTGGAATGCAGGTTCCAGGAGCATGCCCTGGCTGGGTCCGAGAGCCAGGGCCAATGGGGCGGGGGGGGGTCATTTGGCCTGGGCCTCGCGCAAGGGGAGCCTCAAATTTAGACACTTGTTCATTTTTTGGCATTTCATAAGTTTCACAACTTGTTTTTATGTGCATCCCTATCGGACCAAAACGTGACACTCTCTCCGCTTAGAGCTGCAAATTTAAGCAAATAAGAGATGTGATTTGGTAAAAGACATTTTTTAACTGATATAGATTTTGTCAGATTAAAGAGTTAAAATGGTCAAAAATATTAATAAAAATATATCGGTTCTGATGGCACAAGATTAGACCGTGATGAACGTGTCCTCTCAGATCAGCTGATTCTACAAACAAACCACTACTAGTGGCTGGTGCTGGATCAAGTGTGTGTTGAAAGGTCGAGAATTGTTACATTTTAGTGTCTTTATAGTTTTTATGTCTTGTTGATTAAGGAATTATTTATGTGTGAGAATTCCTCATTATTATCTTCATATGGTGGCTAAAAGAGGTGACTGATTGGCTGGTTGAGCCCTAGCTCCGTAGCTTGGCCATCATCATAGGCTTTCGTAGTCTATAGGCCCAGATTCAAGGTGAAAATTTGTGAGGACAATCTTGTACAGTGAGGACACACATTTGAAATATTTGGATTTTATCCCTTTGTATCCCTGTCTGTGTTTACTATATATATGTTATCCCTTTGTCTTCAACTCAGCCTGTTATATTATACCTTGCATGTTTGAGTTTTGTTTCAGTGATAAGGATAATAACTTGTCTGACTGTTTTATTTTGTGTTCTTAATTAGTGTTCCTTCGTTTTAAGTCTTTTCAGCATTTTGTACCATTCAGCATTTGCGTGAATCTCACTGCACAGGCTCGAACTGCTCTTCAGTCTATTCAGAAACACATGTCCAAATTTGAATGCATTCTGATGTCATCTTTGTGGATGAAGCTACTTACAACGATCCACCAAACTAATCTGGTAATTGAAGCACCCAATGCTACACTTGATGTTGAAAGGGATAACATTGAAAGTCTTATCAATGACATTCAACAGATTCGTGAACTATGGGATGCGACCTTGACTGAGTCCAATTTAGTAGCACAGAATACTGGCATTTCATCTGAGTTCTCCACCAATCACAACTTACCTACTGAATCTGATTCCGAGCAGCATTATAGGGTCAATGTCTTCCTTGTCATTATTGACTTTATTCCTTGTCATCATTGACTTTATTCAGTCAGGTCTTACACGTCGATTTGAGTCTCTGTGACTAATTTGTACCATTCGGGGGTTTCTTTGGCAGTTCAACAGAGTGAGTAATGAAGATCTGCTTTCTGCAGCTGAAGAATTTCAGCAACAGTACAACAAAGAAATCTCAAAAGATCTCAGTGTCGAGGTCATCTTCCTCAAACGAAAATATTCCATGGACTTTAGATTGGATTGCAAGCCAAAGGAATTACTTCAAGAAATACTTGAACTTGGACTCTCCGGGGTGTTTCCTAATATCACAATTGCATTGAGTATTTTTGTCAGTTTGCCTGCATCAGTGGCTTCAGGTGAACACACCTTCAATGTGTTGAAGCAGGTAAAGAACTATCTCCATTCAACTATGGGACAAGAGCATTTGAATGGGCTCGCCATGCTTAATATCAACTGTTACGTTGCCCAAAAGCTAGATTTTCCCTCAATAATTAGTGCATTGCACAGAAAAAGGCTAGAAAAGTATTGGTAAATAAAAAAATATTCAAATTATGTCTCACCCTTTTTTTTTTTGATGCCTTATCTTGTTTTCATGTGTTGTCATTTTTTATGTTTATTATGGCTCAGGGCCTCAAAACCTGGAAGTAGCCCGGCCTCTCTGGTCCTCTGAGAGGGCCTGCAGATAGTCTCCTGGAAAGGGACTGGAATGGGTCGCTTATATAAGGGACAGTGGGAGTTCTATACGTTATCTTGAGTCGGTGAAAGGGTGATTTGCCATCTCCAGGGACAATCCCAACAACCTGCTTTATCTGCAAATGACCGACCTGAGATCCGAGGACACCACCCGGTATTACACAGTGAAACCAAACTGATTTGGGATCCTGCAAAAACCCAGGCTGCGGAATCGCCCTTCTCCCGGCAGCCGCGCGAGGGCAGCAGTGACACAAACATAGTGAGGGGAAGTGAACCTGAGCTCAGATGAAAACCTTCCCCTGCAGTAACATCACAACGTGTCTGCTACTGAGGACGCGAACCAGCCACCGACTGCAAGGGAGATAGTGATGAGCGCAGGACAGAGAAAGTCTCCCAGACTATAAATATTTGGAGACTGTACAGATTCATAATAGGTTAAATTCACTCACCTGGAATTCCTCTGAGCATCGGACACTGTGTTGGAAAGTTTGATTCTCTCTCCTTTTATTGTTCTATTACAGACACCAATAAAACAGAGGCAGGTACAGAGACATACACAAACACATGTAAGCATATACTGGCAAACACTTGTACAGAAAAACACATAAGCACACACAGACGAAGCAGGCAAACACACATATCAACACATAAATATACTTATACGCAATCACTCAAAAACAAATACACACCTAAACACAAAAAAGCAAGAGCAAAGACACAAACAAACGCATCCATCTATATACACACATAAAACCCTCACACGAACACAAACAAAATCACACACACAGACAGACACAAAGAGAATGGACCAAATTTTTCTCTCAGTAACATGGCTTTAAATATGAAGTCGCTAGCCTGTAGTAAATATAATTATTCTCAATGTGTGCTGAGTGTCGGAGGACACCATATTACCAAGCACTGAGTGAACAATGAATTCAGTGTAGAGAGATGGTCCACTGCCTTTCTCTACACTTCCAGTGCCTCGCAGATTTGCATTTGGCTGCAGAGAGCTGGTGGTCAAGCACTGCATCATGGGGTTTGGGATCTATCACCTCTGTCAGGGAATTACTAGGCCACCTTAGGCACGTCACTTGCCCTCGTACTCCAGTTGGGGGATTTTTTTTTTAATGGGGATAATGGTTTGTGTTCTGTTAAGAGTTAAATGTAGGGCAAGGCTCTGCCCTTATGGCTAGGGTCAGGGTCAGCATTTAGCATTAGGTTCAGGATATAAATATAGGGTTAGGGCTAATATTTGAAGTCAGGGTTAGAATTTACATTTAGGGTTACAGATCAGTTGAGGGGTAGAGTTAAGATTGTGGGTACACATTAAGTTTTAAGGAAAGATAAGTGTTCACCTCAGGGTTAGCATTGACCCTTAGGGTTAGGACGGGGTTTGGAAGCTAGAACGGGGGATAAAGAAGATGTGAATTTGACCTGCATAAATACCAGTAGGAATCTCAAATGCAGTCCTGCCAGAAGCCCTGCTGTGAGAAGGTGGTCCCGGTGCTTCTCTCCCAGTCACGCACTTAGAACCTGAGATCACGCTAGGAAGTACAAGGTGTCGCTTATAAGGAGGGGAATATGCAAATGATGGCCACACTTTCCTGTTTAAATCTGTCCCTCTCTCTGCCCAGACTTCACAGAGAGAGACAATCCGCAGCCCCTGGGTCTGTGCAGTTACCAGCCAGTCCCCTGAGAATTTTCCCCTCCAGCACCAGGGACAATGAGGCTTTGGTTATATCTCGTCCTCATTGCAGCAGCTCTGAAAGGTATTTTCTCCCTCTCCGTGTGCTGGGGAAGCAGGGGGGTTATTGTGCTATTGCCCGAGATACGAATGTTCCCTCTTAATGTGACTTTATTCCCAGGTGCCCGCTCGCAGGAGTTGGTGGAGTTCGGAGGGGATGTGAAAAAGCCCAGAGACTCTCTCCGCCTCTCCTGCAAAGCCTCTGGGTTCACCTTCACTGATTATTACATGGAGTGGGTCCGCCAGGCTCCCAGAAAGGGACTGCAGTTGCTCTCCCATCAGGGCCGGCTCTAGGTTTTTTGCCGCCCCAAGCAAAAAAAATTTTGTCTGCCCCCCTCCACCCCTGAGTTTCCCACCCGCAGCCCCTGCCACCCCCAGCCACCCCCAGCACTGCGCTCCCCCCCAAATGTGGGGTCCGCTACCAGCACACGGCGGCCAAGCCCTGGCCCAGCCGTGACTCTGTCCCCATGCGGGTGGAGCTGCTGGGTGGCGCGGAGTGGGAGTACTTCCAGGTGGCGGTGCGGCTGCGGGACGGCGCGGAGAACACGGCCCCCTCCCTGAGCTTCGTGGCACTGCTGGTGGCCAAGGTGGATCAGTTCGTGCTCACCGCCCTCACCCCCGACATGCTGGCAGCCTAGGACCTGGAGAGCCCCCCGGACCTGCTGCTTTTCAGCCTCACCGCGCCCTGGCCCAGCCCCGGCGGGCGGGAAAGCGAGGATCTCCGGCTGCAGGGCTACCTGCTCAGCACCGACGAACCCAGCCGGCCGCTCACCTGTGTCAGACTCACAGGACAGCAGCGCTGCCCAGAGGATTCAGGAGGCCTGGGGCAAAGCAATTTCGGGGGCCCCTTCCATAAAAAAAACGTTGCAATACTATAGTAACATGTATTTGGAAATG